CCCCTGCCAAGTACTGATGGCCACTAACCCCCAAATCACTTTTCCCCGCTGTTGATGTTTGGAGTGTCAGACAGGACTGAGCAGCAGCCGGCATGTATTTCAAACACAGCAGATGGATTTTTATATTAGCTCCTATTTCATGTTCAGGCAGGGCGACCGCCACACTAAAACCGCAGCCTCAATGCTGCCGAGTTTGCTTCTGTGAGATTAATTCTGTGAAATTAATTGGGACAAGATTGAAAAGGAAATTAAAATGCAGCTGAGTGAACAGGCCTTTCAAACACCTTTTTCCTGCTCTATTCAAACTTGAATTCTGCGGTGGTCGCTGGCATCGTAGGAAGTAATTTACGAGAGGCAGGCTCTCAGGAGCCATCGGTTACGTATGAGGAGACCTGCACCAGCACCACAATCTGGAGCCACTGAAGAGCGCTAAACACCCCGCTGTGGCCTGAGCTGCGTCCTGGCTCCAGGGAGGAAGGGAAGCTCAGTCCCTCACCAGAAAAAGCTGTTCGGAAATAATCTGGGTCCAAAAGGAACACAGGAACATCCGCTGGATGCACAGATCTGCTTCGTTATTAAAATCTCCCTTTAATATATTTTAGGACCCAAATTGGAACTCAGTGAATTAAGTGTGCTTGGAGCTGCATGGGGCCTAGGAATGTATAGATGTGTTGCAGGGAGGTCAGCGGGAGTCTTCCTGCTGACTGTGCCACCGTTACTGTTTCAGAGTCTGGATACGTGGCTGCTGTCTCTCCATGAAGAGGAGGTTGAATAATCTATCTGTCAGGGATGAACCCTCTGACCAGGAAAGGCACGGTGGATTTTCATGTGCCTCTTCACTGGGTAGTTTTTTATATCCAAGTGGGCAACTTTTGTGCTGTAGAGCATCTCTATGAAGAGTCCTTGGCAAGATAGGCCACGTTTTTTCCTGTCTCAATTCACCAATAATTTATTGAATTCCTTGTACATGCCTAACACTGATCCAGAAGGTTTACTTTATTCTTAGTGGAAGGGAGGAGACTATAATAACAGTTCCTATTTCCTAGATGCCAGGCACTTCTTTATACAAATTCTCTGATGTAGGCATCACAACAACCCTATGAATACAAATTATCCCAATTTTTCCAGATGAGGAAACGGAGGATTAGCAAGATTAAGTGATTTTTGCCCAGGGTCATAAATAACCCATCTGTAATGGGCACTTACTTGCTTCCCTGAGAACAGGACAGGTGATGGGCACTTGGATATCCATCGGGTGCATCTTTCTTGCCCAGTCAATCATCTTCTCTGGAGAATTTTTTGGAAAAAGGATAAATTTCTGGGATCATTCCTACCCTAAGGCAAGACTACAAGATTCTCCTGAGTTTGGCTCTAGGAGTCTAGGATGGATTATACGTGGGTGACTATTAAGAAACAGCAGGGAGCAGCAGGAGACCAAGACAGAAGCTGTCATTCTCCCCTGCCCTGCCTCCTCCATCCCACTTCCCCATCCAGGGCAGCTTCCTGTCTCCCACCCTCCCACTCCCAACCCCACTTCAGAATACTTTGATCAGCCAAAGAGAGAAGGTGAAGCCAAGATGCATTTATAAAGGCTGAAAACAAAAGAGCTGGAAACTGGAATTTTGTTTGCTTGTTTAGACTGAATATAAGTAATCAAAGCTAAAACACATTTTTGGGTGGAAATTCTTTAGCAGTTTTGCAGTATCAAGCTCACCATATTTAGAACGGGAATGTCTGAGGTGGAAGGAAACTTAGATATTATCCTGCTCGACTCCCTCGTTTTACAGGTGAAGAGACAAGTCCAAGTAAACTGAGCTGCACACGGCTGGCCACACCTTGTGTTTCTGGGGAAAGCAGGCTTCCCCGATTCCTAAACAGCAGGCCTTTCTTGCCTGACAGAGGTTATATTGGCCAGAAAGATAAGTAAAATGGAGCTTTCTAGACACCAAGAAAGTGAGTTTTCCTGGATGAAACTCAACTTGGGTCAGTTCTGCCCTTCCAGGTGTAAGAGGCAGACTGCAGAGTGTAACTGACCCCGACAAAGGAAGTCAGTAGGAGCTAAATTGGGATGAATTTAGGATCCACAGGAGAGAAAATTCCAGTGAGTAGAAATGACTGAACTTCTGAACAGACAGATGGCTGGGAATGGTAGCGAATCTCCTTTTCTATCTGTTTGAATTTGTTCATCTGTGCTTCTTTGATGCAAGGGAATAGATTGGGTGGCCTTTTAAGGTTCCTTCCTGTCCAAGGACTCTTATTGAATTAGGTAATATAATAAAGGTAAATCCAATCTGAAAGGCTCCCCAAATCAACGTTAACTGGAATGAAGCTTTATAAGGAAAAGTTCAGTTGAGCCCCTAACTTCTCATTTTCTCCTCTGATATGCAGGGATTAGCAACATGGGGAAAGGAGGCAGCTGGTATAGCTTTTGCCAGGAAGAAATGTGCTACTACAGTGGTATGGGGTGAAAATGGAGTCAGAATCTTCTAGAAGAGTGGAGAAAGATGTTGATAGAACCAGGGCAGCAAGGGATTCTCACTAAATTAAACTCTGATATATTAGCTTTTAGTTACAGAGGAGAGGAAGAGGGGTTGGTTTTTAAAAAAACAGTTGGGGTTGGTTCCCCATGTTCTTGGGGATCTCTTAAAAATATGATTAGCCACAGGCAGCTCTATACTGCAGGACAGGTCACCACACAGCCCCTTCTAACCGGAGGAAAGGGACCCCCAGTGAGAAGCCATTAACAAAAGCAAAAGACATGCAAAACAAACAAAATAATCATGACAGAGAGAAGGCCTGCAGACAGTCTGGCTCTGTTCTTTCCCCCCTCCTGCTGCAGGCACCTCCAGACAATGTAAACAGTTAATTTGTTCACCTGCAGGCTCTGGGCAAACAGAGGCCTGGTCACACCTGAGTGGATAACTCGATTACCCCTGTAATGCCAGCGTGGTAATGTACACAAATTCTATTACACGGCAAACCTTGCTTTCGGGCATTTGAAATACCAGTCAGGCCCATGTCCACTCCCTTCTTTGCTTCCAATTTATTCTTGGTGTATTGGAGCTGCACCGAAATGGCACTAGGGTGGCACTGAGTTAGGAATCCAGAAGAAATCACCAGAAGATTGTGATCTCACTCAGCAGAGCTTGCAGGCCTCCTACTCTCTTGCAAAAGGTTGGGTCTGAATTTAGTCTTTGTTTAAAGGGGCCTGATTCATTGGAACCACTGAAAGGTACGCTGGGTCAGAACTGGACTGTTTCCTAAGGAGCTTCAGGTGTATTTCAAACCAAGATAAACCCTGGACTAAGGCAGTAACATTCTTAGAATTAAGACAAATGGTAAATGATGGGTTAGTAACACAATGGGTTTTTAATTTTCCCTTATGGAATCCACATACTCAGCAATTAAGAGCAGATTGTGCCTCTTTCAAAAATGTGTTTGTAGATATTGACTGACTGCATAGAGAGAGGACTGGTTAATAATTTCTTTTAGGGACAGAACCTATTATTTTAGCCCACCTATGGAATGAATATGTGTGGTCTTTCTTTACTGATCCCCCAAGCTCATGAGTTCTGAATCTTCTTCACACGGATCTGCAATAATCCATCCTTTTTAAAATTTTAACCCCATTTGTTTATGATCAACAATACTATTTATGAGATGGTTAGCTGAAGCGAGGGGTTAACTTGTGACTGAGGAAGAGAATAAAGTTAGCTGGTCTGAATGGCATTGGATTCACTCTCTTGGCCTTATCACCACTTGCTCAAACCAATTGAGCTAACTAGCTCTGACTCCTCCCCCCATATGTAATTATATTACAGTTTTGTTTATCTATAAATGAAATAAGAAGGCAGCTTACCTAGCTAGAATGTTTCCAACAGTATTATATAGTTATAAATTATGTACATGGTAATGACCTATAAGCACAAGCCCCTGAAAAAGATCAAATTTTGATTGGCATAGTTTTGGTCTTATGTCAACCTAATTGTATTTTTTTTTTTTTTTTTTGAGACAGAGTCTTGCTTTGTTGCCGAGGCTAGAGCGAGTGCCATGGCGTCAGCCTAGCTCACAGTGACCTCAAACTACTTTTTTTTTTTTTTTTTTTTGAGACAGAGTCTCACTCTGTTGCCTTGGCTAGAGTGAGTGCTGTGGCGTCAGCCTAGCTCACAGCAACCTCAAACTCCTGGGCTCGAGCGATTCTACTGCCTCAGCCTCCCGAGTAGCTGGGACTACAGGCATGCGCCACCATGCCCGGCTGATGTTTTCTATATATTTTTAGTTGTCCAGATAATTTCTTTCTATTTTTTAGTAGAGACGGGGTCTCGCTCTTGCTCAGGCTGGTCTTGAACTCCTGACCTTGAGTGATCCACCCGCCTCGGCCTCCCAGAGTGCTAGAATTACAGGCGTGAGCCACCACGCCTGGCCAACCTTATTGTATTTTTAAACCTGAAAATTGTTTCCTGAATCTGGATTTTCAATTAAAAATTTCCCTAACAGGCCGGGTGCTGTGGCTCACGCCTATAATCCTAGCTCTCGGGGAGGCCGAGGCGGGCGGATTGTTTGAGCTCAGGAGTTCGAAACCAGCCTGAGCAAGAGCGAGACCCCGTCTCTACTAAAAAATAGAAAGAAATTATCTGGACAACTAAAAATATATATAAAAAATTAGCCGGGCATGGTGGCGCATGCCTGTAGTCCCAGCTACTTGGGAGGCTGAGGCAGAAGGATCGCTTGAGCCCAGGAGTTTGAGGTTGCTGTGAGCTAGGATGACGCTACAGCACTCTAGCCCAGGCAAAAAGAATGAGACTCTGTGTCAAAAAAAAAAAAAAAAAAAAAAAATTTTCCCTAACGATTATGAATAAATGGGAGTTTATTCTATGTGTGAGGGAGTCATGTAATACACACAGGGAAGTGTATGACATGGAATAATTTCGGTTACAGTGACTACATTATTGAGTGAAAAAATTGACTTTTGATCCAAGCCCCACACTCTCTGCCCTTACCTTGCTCAGAATGCGGATGAGGTCACCCCGTTGGAAGGACAGTTCATCTGGCTGGTCACCATGGCAATCCCATAGGCCCTGGTAATAATTGGCAGAGTCTACTGACCAAAGAGAGGAGAAATCAAAGTTAAAAGACCTCTGTCTTTTCCAAGGAGCCCACATTTTTGCTGTAACTGGAGACCAGCGTTCTGTTATTGCCCCTAGGAAACATGAGATTCAGGGAGGTTGATCTGAGATATAGCCAAACACTCAGTGTGAGCAAAGGACTATGGGAGAAGGAGATCATTAACTAACATTAAATATTTACAGATCATCCCTAGTAGGATGCTGTTCAACAATATGATAAATATATTTATTTATTAATAAAAGAAAATCAGGCAGGTAATTTTTCATTTGGTTTGTAAGTAAGCAACACACAGAGGTTTCCCGCCAGACTTTCTTGATCCGGGGCGTCTAAACTATCTACTAGTGCTTCTCTTCTTTTTGAATCCGAAGGATCTGAAGTCTCTGACTTCTGCCTATTTACAAGAGAGGCTGAGACAGCCAGCATGCTTCTGCATCACAGCTCACATTTTGGCCTTCTCTGCTACATAGGAACTTCATCCTAGGCACTTCCCACCTAGGTACTATATGAGGCAATCACCAATAAATACTGAAACGAATAGCCCAGTCTTTAAGTGGAACCAAGGGGGTGTCTCATCCATTAGAACTAAATTCTGGGTGGGCTGGCCCTTTTCCAGCATCTCATTTGTAGACCCTGAACATGTCTGCCAAGATTTATCTGCAAGCCCCCGGGGGAACAGAAACCAAAGTGATCTGCATTAAAAATGAAAGCAACTGAAGACGACAACCCAAGCTTTAGAAGCAGCCAGAGAGATTTACTGGGCTTCTCAGCAAGACTAGATGGCAATGATGCCACAGGACAGCCATCGATTCTTAACAATGAAGAATTTGTATTGATCTTCTTCTACCCGGAAAGGTTAAACACTAGAGTACAAAGTGGGACAGGATCTGGGGATTTGAATGGCAGGAGAGCTAATGCCCACTAGACCAGGGAGCCTCCCTGTTCCTTAGGATGCTACCTATGAGAGCTGTAAACAAAGCACCTACCAAAGATGAAATTTGATTGATGGGAGTCAGAAGTCCTGCATTCTAATTAAAATTCATGTGATTTCTGGGGACTCTATTCTACAGATTTCTACCTTTCCTTTCATTGGTCTTGACTCTCCCATGAGCAGGGATGGTACTGGTCGCTAAGGACAGGGGCAAGTGGGCAGTGGAGGCACTTACATTTGTTTGCTTTTTTCCTACTTGTTCCTGACTGATGAGCAATTCAAACAAAGGCACGGGGGAACAGAATCCCTATATGTCTCTGGAAAGAAACTTCAGTAGGAATCTTAAAGGGCACAGAAGGAGAGGAGGGATAAAATTGTTTAGTTAACACCCAGATATTGCAAACAGAAGTAAAAATGTCAACTATATAGAAATTCTAACATGTTTTCTTTACACGGAAAATTGTCTGTATGTGCAGCTGACAACAGAGGGCAGCAAACAAGATAACTATTGTGAAAAGATTTTGCCACAGAGTTGAGAATATGTTTGGAAGAAAAACACTTTAGGAGAAGTAAGTTAATTATTGAAAAGACAAATCATATATTTTTTGGGCATGAAATCATAGAGAAATATCAGTTCCTGAAAAGTAAAAGTAGTTTTCCCAGAGGATGTATTAATGCATTTTCAGTTGTAATGGAGTCGATTAATCACTCCAAGATTTTGACCAAATTTAGCTTCCGAGGGCAGACGGGATCTGGCGCAGTCAGGGCGGGGCAGCCGCAGACTTGACCAAATTTAGGAATGAAAAGTATATTGACATCAATATTCTTCATGGATTTATATATGGTAGAAAAATAATTTTTATAAAATAGATTTTTTACAATAGAACTTGATATTTCTGAATAGTAAGACTGACAAGGTTATCTTGGCTTTTTCTGGCCTAGCAGATGGTCATTTTGGGGATGCTGCTCACCACTGTGTGCCTGGATGTAGGATAGCTCCTAAGATTACAGGCACCTTTTTGGTATATATGTAAAAAGTGATTTGATATTGGCTATATATGGGACCTGGGAGAACACCTGGAAAAAGACCTAAAAGCACAGTAGATCACAGGGAAAGTAAGACGCTAGGAGGAAAACAAGCTTTCTAGAAAAAAATACAGATAGAAAAGGCTTTTGGTGCTAAGGGCCATAAGAAGATAGAGTTCAGGAATTTAGGAGATAGTTTAGCCTAGCCCAAGAACAGGGATTATCAGAACTAGAATTATTAGAAGACGGCTCTGAAAAAGAAGCAGAATGAAGGGCTAAAAACTGGGAAAAGGTTGGACTCGCTATCTAGTTAGAGGTATTCTGCTATTAATATTATGGATATCAGTGAGGGGTAATTCCTTAGCTGGACAAGATCGGACTCCATATTGCAGACTCCCTGTTTAACATATGTGTGATTTGCATTTATGAGTATGGGCACATGCATACTCACTAATTTGGTCCTCAGCATTCAACAGACATGTACACAGCACCTACTAAATGCCAGGGACTGTGTTAGAGACGAGGAATTCTACACTGGCCACACACAGGCCCTGCTCTCAAGGGTACCCTGCGGTGGGGGTGGCACCGTGGAAAAAACAGTTACACGATTATTTATTTATGATTGTGATATGTCTGTGAAGGAGAAACTGAGGATGCCGTGTGTAATAGGGAATTTAACACAGTCTAAGAGGTCAGGGGGGCTCCTCTGAAGCTTTAGTTGTGTAACAAAAACCTGACCAAGTGGGTATTATTTAAGGACCTTGAAGAGGGGAAGAGGTAAGGCTGAGGAGGGCTTCTTTCCTGAAGCTTGGTCCCAGGAAGCGCCTGAAGGCCCCAAAGTCTGAAGGGTTAGTCCAGCTTCTCCCCGACCTTACCCAGCTCATCCTATAAACTAGTGAATGCATGAGGAAACTTTGATTTCTTTAGAATAGTGAGAGGAATTGAGAGCCCGAAAATGAGGCTTGCCTCTGTGGGCTGGATTTAGGTTCCTTTGGTTTACACTACCCTGGCAGCAGTCTGAGATCAGAAATGGTGCAGCATTCTGACCATTTAATTAATTCAAAACATCCTCATTCTCATTTTGAGGACATTATTCCATCTAATTATTTTTTTTCCAGTCTGTCCATTTGGAATGAAAAACAAAAGAATAAAGCTTAATGCCAGCATTTCTCAATGTCTTTCCAAAAAACGTAACTCTGCACTAAATAAAGCCTGGTAATTCAAAAGCAAAGCACTAATATATTCAGCATAAAACAGACAGAGGACCTAGAGCAATAATGACACCACTAATAACTAAAACAGTTATAACAATTAACAACAATTACAATGATAGAGAAGCTAATGGGTATGATCACTGCATTTAAATTGCTAGCAGAGCTGAGAAGGACTTTTTCTAGAGAGAAAAAAAGGGTGGGGGCAGTATCTTGTTCTATTTATCCCATGTAAGGGAGGCTAAGCTCCAAGTGTACAAAATGTCATAGGAAGAATAGCAACAGACCAAGCTTTAAAAAAAATTAGTATTGTTTTTCTCTTTTCTAGGTACTTATTGCAAAGCATTTATCATTGCATGCCAAGGTCTTTATAACTAGTAATAGTCATTTTTCCTGTAACTGAGGTTAAGTTGGAGATATTGTTGACAGAGTCAATATCTGAAAATTAGCCTCTATGTTGTGGAAAGTTCTAAGGTAAAAGGACCAGGACACCTTTCTGCCCTTTCCCTTCCTTAGGGACAAGAGAACCTGACTGTGTTCCTTCCAGAGTTCAGCTTTTGTTTGGGGGACATTGGGTAGCTCCAGAATTGAAGCTATGGCCAGGGAAAAGAAGCTAAAGGCAGGTCAGCATGTTGTTTACATTTTCTTCATGATTAAAATGACTGTGTCAGTGATTTAATAAGTTGTACCTATTAAATTATGGAAAAGACAAAACAAGATGATGGATAAATCCAGTCCTACCAGCACATGGGACCATGAGACATGGACAAAAAAGCCAAAGCAGTGACCTATTGGAAGTGACTTGAAATGTTTTCTAGGCCAGGTCAGAAAGGGTCACCTTGATCAGTCCATTCAAGTAGACTGTGTCTGATACATTATTAACTATTTCAGAAAGGAGATAAGAAGAATTTTCCAAGTTCCAGTGTCTATGGCACCAGAACAGGAAGAGCAATTGAACAATACCTTTTGCTTATTTTCATAGCCCTTTAATCTTGAGTTTTGAAATTATTATGGTCCTTAATATAGTAAGTTTGATGTGGAAGTGGGGAACACTCACAGATCCTGATTTTCATCTCATTTGCTCCTCTTATTGGGCCAAAATTTTAGTGGATTGATGACCAACTGATGTTTGGTCGTGGGAAACAGCTTTCGAAGGGTAAGAACTACAAATAGCTCTGTGGTTTCCCTCTGTTTCTTTCACGTAATAGTTCACTCTGTTGGCAGGCATTAGAGTGGGAAGAGTGCCTCAGAGACAGAATGTCCGTCAGCAACCATTTTTCTGCCCTCCTGAAGGCAGGAGGTTGCTTATAAGCATAAATAATCATTTGTTTATAGGACCACAATAGTGTGGTCCGTCTCCTTTTAGCTTAGTTTGTCCCCAATTTCAGAGTGAAAAAAACCTGTTTTAAGGTTTTCTTTGGTCAGGGATTCGTGCCTCCAGGCCTGCTTTTTATTTATATAGCACATGGAAGCAAATGGCTAGTAATTTTAATACAAACAGCACAGAGAGAATTTTATCTTTGGTTACCTGGATACTACCTTTTCAGGATAAGGAAGAGAGATAAGCTCTCATTACCTGAGACCCTTAGTGTTAGACTGTTAGGCTGATGGGTTGGAATTTAGTGAAAATCTGAGGTGTTGAAGAGTCACTCATTAAAATAACCCTGTTACTAACAGTCATGCTGTAAACCGAGCTCTTTATAGATTGAATAATCAATACTACAAGACTGTGATAGATTTTCTAGGTAACAGAATAAAATAAAAGAAATTACATCTTACAGGGTCATTAACACTCAATAAGGATAAACTGAATTCCTGTACCCCCTCCTTCTGATAAGATTGAGTTGGACATTAAAAATGTTAGCAATTCCATCAAGGAAAAGCACAGCATTTAACGAACAGGATTCACGGATGTTGGAGAAAAGTACTTGGATTTTAAAGGTAACCCTGCTAGTCATAGCGTCTTTCAGGAGAAAAGGAAAAAGGGAAAGGTCAACTTGCTTAATTTGTTTTCTCTCCAAAAAGCATGTTCACAACTGAGAGACACTAAGTGACACAAACTTATGTAGCTTGTCTATGACATAAGAATTTGCACTGTCCTAGAGCTCCCTGCCTTTTCAATACCTTCATTGGGGTTTCCTGCCCTCCCCCCAACCTCTGTATTTTATTGTTATAAATCTAAATGATGACATTAGGATGTTACATATTTGTCACTGTTTCTATAGCTCCTTTGGAGAAAAGGCACTATATAAATTCAATAAATAAATAAGTAAACACAAATAATAAAAATTCCTGCCTCAGATTTTGCAGAGAGAGCGAAAAGTCCTCCTGTTTTGTAATCACTAAGTCACCAATCATCATAACTGGTGGGAAGTATAAACCACAGAAACATATTTAGAGCTCACTATACTTTAATAACACTTATTTTGGAGGCAGGAAGCATGAGGAACAAAAGGGTTTTTTAAAAAAAAGTTCTTGAATTATAGCTATTGGAACAGTTAGGAAATAAATCTCCTCTCACTTCCCAGATATAACCTTACAGAGAGAGGAAGAAGGAGAAAATGAGATGAGGGAGGGGTCTGAAACTGAATTTTAGACTTTGCCAGAAGACTGATGCTTCTTGAATGGTGTTTAATATAAAGTTGGCCATAAGAAACTTACAGTTACTCCACACACGCTGTCCCCATGAAGTGTTTCTTTTATGTACTGGTGACAGAAGTTGGTCGAGAAAAGATACATGTGAAATATGGGTGGATCAGAACAGATATTTGGTGGAATTCTGTACAGCAAGTAGAAAATAGGTTTCGGAATGGACTGAATCACATGTACTCAAAGCTATGCCAACACCCTTGCATCATACCCACCTCGGGTGATTTCTTTCTCTTTTGCTGTGGCATGTGACTGCTGATGCTGCCTCTACACTGTCTTTTCCCACCCTGGGGAGAAGATGGACCCCTAGGAAGTTGAGTCCTAAACCTTTTAAGTACTCACTTCCTGTAGAGAGTGAACTCAGGAATAGGGGATTTTGCTGAATGGATAAGGAAGAGAAGAAAAAGCACAAGGAAAAGAGGAGGGAGAAGAATCGGAAAGGATAAGGCCAGAGACATGGAGAGCGAGCAGGAAGGAAAAGAGGGAAAGAACTCCTAAGCTCAAGATTTTCATACACTCTCTAAGAAAAAAATCATCTGGTACCTAAATCAGTCATGATTTGGGCTCTGCTAATGGAACGAATGTCCTTGAGGTGGCCCTCGCAACGTGCAGCATTCCTTTACTGACAATGGTGGAATAGGCCCTTGGTCCACTTACGGAGGCTTCAGAGGGGCATCTGACCTTAGAAAGGATGGGCTCACTAACAGTCTGGAGCATGGTTAACAGTCTGGGATGAATAGGATGTAATTCTGTATTCAACAAACCTATTACATATTCATTTCCAAATGTGCCTGGAATCAAACCAGGCCATCAGAAGTCAGCATCACCAAGCAATTCTATCCTTCACCCCATGTTCACTTTTCAGATCTGACACATTTCCATTCCCCTCTGAACTTGCAATCTCTGGGCCTCTCAGAGAGGAGACATTTCTATTCTTTCCATTCTCAATCTTCTGATCTCTTAGAGATGAGGCAATTCTATTTTCACTGTACTGATTTAAGAAATACTGATAGGAAAAAATAAATATCTGGTTTGGCTTCCCACCCTCTCTAGGATAAATCTTAGCTGTTCTTGGAACATTAATTAAAGTGAATGGGTAGCTGCTTTTAAAGTTAAGGTATTTTCCCTACCCAGTCACTTTGTTTGGGGCTTTTGGGGTCGCACACGAGTACCCTCTTAGTTATCGAATCCAATAATTTTTGTAGTCTTGGAGAAAGGTGCTTTCCTCTAGTGAGAGCCGGAATGTCCTACCCATTGCCTGTGTGTTTATGAAGCTTTTATACCTCCTTTTCTTCGAGTGCCACTCTCATCCTCTTCTAGATCACACTCTTCATCTGAGGGGATAAATGAGCAGTATTAGCAATTAGCGGTCGACAGTCTCACATTCGTTACACTGAGGGGTCTCCTTTCTCTAAGTTCATCATACTCTCTACTTTAAGGAAAGTTTAATTACCATGTTTTTTTTTTTTTTTAATCATCTCTCACCTTCAAACTGGCCGTCTCCTCCTTCCTTTCCCATTCATTCATTCACAAATATTTTGAAGTGCTTACTACATACAAGATGCTGCACTAGCAACTGGGGACCAGCAACAGACAAGACCATCCTTGCGGAGTTTCTAATCCTTTGGATTATTTAGTTGCCTGTCATTAGGATCCTAATGCTTTTCCTCAAACTCTATTTCTCCTTGCCTTCTGTAATTCTCTTCAAAATTTATTGTCTTCATGCAAGCATTCTGTTTTTTTTTTCTTTCTTTTTTTTGAGACCGGGTCTTTCTCTATGTAGTGGCATCATCATAGCTCACTGCAACCTCAAACTCCTCGGCTCATACGATACTCCTGCCTCAGCCTCCCAAGTAGCTGGGACTACACGTGTGTGTTGCCACGCCTGGCTAATTTTTCTATTTTTTGTAGAGACGGGGTCTTGCTATTGCCCAGGCTGGTCTCGAACTCCTGGCCTCAAGCAATCTTCCCACCTTGTCTTCCCAAAGTGCTAGGATTACAGGTGTGAACTACTATGCCTGGCCCTCTCTGGTTTTAAGCACTCCAGAATTAGGATGTTATGGTGTGTATATGTGTGTGTGTGTGTGTTTGTGTGTGTGTGTGAGAGAGAGATTTGAAGTGGGTGTTTAATCCCTCCGTGATTAATTAGTCCTTAACGTATCCATCTTTGTTCAGCTGTAGCGTGGCGGAAGCTGATCATGTACATAATTTTATGTTCCTAGTACTTGGGGCTTGTAGTTATCTTTTTACTGTTTTCATTCAGCCTGCCTTGTTCATTAGAGTATAAGCTCCTGAGGGCAGTTGGAATGGTCTTTTAATTAATTGCTGTAGATTCACAATGGGTTCTAAGTCAATGCCAGTGTCTAACTCCAGTCAAGTGTTTATATGGCCAAAGCTACAATATGATTGGCCTAAGTTTCTTACCCTCATTAATCTGTTTCATCTCAGACTTCACACTACCTCATAAAATAGGAATTTGGCCTTTATAAAGAAAGCATGTGCACCAGAATCATATTTAGCTATTTTATAAGTAGGGCAAAATGGGAGCAAAAATATATTTGCTGTTTTTCCACCACCACCGCACTCTTCTCTCTCTCCCTCACATACACATCCATGTACACACACTTACACAGTGAATAGGACATAATAAGCAATATTTTAAGGGCGGAATACTCAGCTTCTCCTGGCCACATTTCCTTCCTTTCTGTTCTCTTTCTGGGTCTTACGGCACTTACTTGTCTTGCTTCTCCATAGTTTTGCCACTAAATGGAACCTTTGAGGAGATGGTCTGGGGACATTTCTTTTTTTCTTTCTTTCTTTCTTTTTTTTTTTTTTGAGACAGAGTCTCACTCTGTTGCCCGGGCTAGAGTGCTGTGGCGTCACCCTAGCTCACAGCAACCTCAAACTCCTGGGCTCAAGCAATCCTACTGCCTCAGCCTCCCAAGTAGCTGGGACTACAGGCATGTGCCACCATGCCCAGCTAATTTTTTCTATATATTTTTAGTTGTCCAGATAATTTCTTTCTTTTTTTTTTTTAGTAGAGACGGGGTCTTGCTCTTGCTCAGGTCTTTCTTTTTTTAAATGTAAGGTTTATAGGCCAAAATGAATTCTGGTATGTCAGACTGGGAGAAGTAAAATCTAACCTCGAAGGTAAGAAGAGGCAGCATAAAAATATGTTAGAATACTATAGAACATTATAGAAGTAATTGATTTCACATAAAAAATGACACCATTCCTTGCAAAAATGAAAATTAAGAGATTGACACTCTGGGGAAATAAATCACTTATTACCTATATATGTATATATTTATACACACACACACACACACACACACACGCACACACTTGTTCTCAAGATGCTATAGGAAAAGGAACACTTTGACTCAACAATTCTTGTCTCCATGTATGAGCTAGCAGCAGAGAATTTCCTACTTACCACCTGTAGTGCTTCTCCAATCCCACCATGAGAAACAAAGATGTGAGATAATGGAGGAGTGAAATCAAATATAGGAAATAGATCATGCTAAAATAAATCACATTAAACATCATTCTTTGCACATTGTCTTCTCATTACTTGCCCACTTCCTTCCTTCCTCTACTACGATGCTTTTCCTCTTTGATGTGGGACTAATTTTGCAGGATTGAAAATATTAGAGAAAGAGTTGGTACATCCTCAGCTTTAGAGATACCCAATAATTTGGACAGAGAGCAGCTCTTTTGCTGATATCAGACAACTCAATCACAAAGACCAGTAATTTGCTGTGCTTAGGAACTTTTGCAGAGAGGGTTTATTCTACCTCTGCTGTCTGTGCGCAGCTGTCTCTTCCTCCCAATTCTAATCAATGTAAATTGGGTCAGATCTCCACTGTGAATTACAAATTGGATCCGAAGTTGGAGGGTCACCGTGCCTGCTACTCCACCTCCTTCCCACCACCATTAGATGGGAAGCTACACCAAAGATCTTTTCTAAATAAATCAGACTTTATTGTAAAACTCGGCCACTGACGAGACATAACCTCATTAGCATTGATTTTAAAATAAATTATTGAAAGTGGCTTGCCTGCTCTTTGCATTTGTAAAATAGGAGAATGTAAATGTATTTGCAATGATAAAAATGAAAAACTTGATTCCTTTATCCTTTCAGGCAACAGCACTTAATCTAGTCATGATACAAAAATGGAAAAACAGAAATCTGAATTCCAGACCAGATACTCTTATTTCCATTGCACCTTTGTAGTCACTTAGAATGAAAGAAAAACGCTGGCCATAGAGCTTGTGTATCATTCACCACCATTACTAAACTCTACGGTGATGGATGTGAACGGGGAAGCTTCAATCCCCACATTTGTTCTCTTTAACGCTGTACTTCCTGGGTGCCTGAAAGTGGGCTCTAGTTAAGAAGCCTTGCTATTGATGGGCTAGGTGCTCTGCCTTTGGGGCCTTTGAAAGACCGAGTATGGGGCATCGACATATAGTGAAGGAAAGTGTCTTCCACAGCTGGGAAGCACACCCCTCAGCACCTCCCCGGGTTCAGAGGGTACAACACAGACAGCGAGGCATACAATTTATCTCAGATCCTTCCATGAAACCAAACTGGACTCTTTAAACTCCAAAATCAAGACAGCTGATTGTATGGCAACAAAAAAGTCTTTTTTCTCACAAAAGGGGGTGGGTTAAATGGCTAAATTTCGCATTTTTATTAATCCGTAACATAAGGCTTTAATTTTAAGAGACTATTTTGGGAAAAATATTTTTTAGGCTAAAGAGCTTGTTGAACTTCTTTATAAGAATGTTATTAGGCATTTTAGCATTACGTCTACTGAAATACATCTTCATTTAAGAGAGAATTAAAATTTATGTGCTAGCTCAACTTTAAACAGTAATAGATTATAATGGTCCTTGCTCCTAACAGGGCATATGGGACCCCAACCTTATATAGGTTTTAAACAAATTAACCTCCAAAGATTACTGTCCACTTATTACATTAAATGCTCTACTTGATTCCCAAATATCTCATCTCAATTGGGAAAACAGTTGAAGAAGATTCTGTTAACTGTGTGAACATGTAAGAGAACCATGGGGCATCACAAATGAGCATCAGTATCCGGAGATTCAATTTCAATCAACATTCTTGGCACCATTTCAGGGACACTAATGAGAGGCTGAGAGGAATAGGACACTGAATCCACCTCGGAGGGACAGCGAGGAGCCAGCTTCTTATGACACCTGGCTCTTTCTGAAGTGCTGCTCTGACACCCCTCTGACATTGGCTAAACCGCTATCAAAAAGAATAACATCTGAAAAATTGACTAGATTAGGAAGAGGGGAAATCACTTCCCCTAACAAAGCAAAGTGACAACAACTTTAAAAATGCCAACTGTATCAATGTGCAACCAGATGTCAAGGTGCTCCGGTGACAGATGCAACAGAAATACAGATACACTAGAAGTGCAAAGGGAACATGCAGAGAAGTGGAAAGTAACTGCTCCATGGCATGCACAGATATGTTATCAATCTATAGATGCTATAGCACCCCATCAGACAACATGGAAAATGCAAGCAAGACGATAATAACACATTTAATTCTCTCTTGTGTATTTGGTAATCTCAACTGTAACCTCACAATATTTGCATCCTATTTCTGTGGTATGGTTTTGATGTAGAAGATATTAAAGTCAGTTTGTGCTAATTGCCACACTTGGAATGCACTCAGTTAATTTCACAAATAATAACTCAGCACCTACTAATTGGGGAGAAAGACCTGAATACAAATCACTGTGGTAAGGGCTAAAACAAAGCTTAATTTCAGTTGAGTAACTGAGAGGGTGTTACTGAGGAAACACATTTGAGCAGAATGTGTAGGATTTGTTTTTTCTTTTCTTTTCTTTTTTTTTTTTTTTCAGACAGGGCCTTGCTTTGTTGCCCAGGATGGGGTGCAGTGGCAGGATCACAGCTCACTGCAGCCTTGAACTCCTGGGCTAAAGCAATCCTCTTGCCTCAGCCTTCCAAGTGGCTAGGACTACAGGCACATGCCACCATGCCTGGCTAATTTTTAAAATTTTTTATAGAGGTAGGGCCTCGCTGTGTTACCCAGACTGGTCTTGAACTCCTGGACTTGAGTGATCCTCCTGCCTCGGCCTCCCAAAGTGCTGGGATTGCGGGTGAGCCAATGTCAGCCAATGTGAGCCACTGCGCCCAGCCAAAATGTGTAGGATTTGACAGGCTGAGACCAGGGGGGATATTCTAGGTAGAAAAAACAGTTTTGGTGCTGGCCAAGCAGCACCATGTGGTTGGGGCTCAGTGTGCCTGGGAGTGAGAGAAAGAAAAGGCCAGGAACCTCCAAGAAAGCCTGATGATGATGTTGACTTTTCCCTGATGTCCCTTCTTTCTTCATAAGCCTTGTATTTTTGGTCTCTGTTTCTTTCTTATTTATTTATTTATTTGAGATAGGGTCTCATTCAGTCACTGGAGTGCATTGGTGTGATCATAGCTCACTGCAACCTACAACTCCTGGGCTCAAGCGATCCTCCTGCCTCCACCTCCCCAGTAGCTGGGACTACAGGCGTGCACCACCACGACCAGATAATTTTTAAATTTTTTGTAGAGACAGGATCTTGCTATGTTGCTCGGGCTGGTCTTGAACTGTTGGTCTCAGGAATCCTCCCACCTCGGCCTCCCACAGTAATGGGAGTAATCCTCCCTGGGATTACAGGCATGAGCCACTGTGCCTAGCCTTTTCTTTCTTTAGAGCTCTTACTATCACCATTCCCCCTTCCTGTGGGTCTGGACATCTATACAGGGGGGAAATGATTTCACAGAATGCTTGTTTCCATTTGACTCAAAATTTTAAAAACCTAGTTATATGCTTTATTATAAAGCAATCTGGTTTCTGGGTCTATAGTAACACTTCGGGGCAATGTGGGCAGCAATGGATGTGTGCAGAAACTCCCAGGGAAGGCTCTTCATCTCTCTGTTTGCTCTTCTGAAATCTCTGTAGAGAACACAGCCGGATTCTGTTGCCATTGCAGCTGCTACAAGGCCCCAGATGCAGTGCTTCAGTGGTCTCAGGCGCCTCGCTGCATCCCAGCCTTGAGGCCCCAGACAGAGAAATCTGATAAAAGTTGTCCTTTAACAGAATCTTGAACATGGAACTGAGCCTGTGCTGGCCTGTAAAATAACTTGGGTGGGCGGGGTGAGAGGGCTCAGGAAAGCCTTCCATTTTCTACATACTGCTTTTGCATTTTTTTCCTGGTAGTTCCCTGCAGTTTAATCTACCGCAAATGACATCCTAAAAATCAAAGGCCCCCATGTGCTCAACACGGATGTTCAGAAATCCCACCAGATACCAACCTTGAAACCATATATTACAGGACTAATATTTTTGTGGTCTGGCTGAAAACCTTGAGAGCTCTGGTTTTCCCTCACGGGGAGAAGAGTGCTAGCCACGTAGCAAATGTTAATCATCCTATGATTAATGTGATGTGAGTTTAATTTGATGACCTATACATTATTTTGATTAGTATAAAACATTTTTTTATTGACTTGGTACGTGTTACAAGTACTTTTCTCTCTACTGAGAAGCTCGTCTAAATTATACTCTGGAAGGGAGCTCTCACTGACATGGCTTTCCCCAGAGGGACATCGAGGGCGTGTGTGGGCCCTGTCCCAAAGAGGAGGATTAGCAGAACCGTCAATGCTAAATATCCTCCACAAAGCACATATACCTGTTACAACGAAATGAATGTTGGAGGCCCAAGTCATTAGACTATTGATGGGTATGCAACGTTAGCACAATCCAACATTACCGTTGGCTGCCCCTCCACCCAGCACCTGGCCTCGCAGTAAAAACGGGCATGAGCAGAAGGTGCGCTCCACATTCCATCTGCTCAGGATTTTCGATTTCACCTGTCTATATACATAGCTGGAAATGTCCACCTGGACTGTCTTGGGTCTGGTTAGTGAGGGCAGGGACCTAACCATCCCCCAACTCTTTAAGGAGGTAATACTTCCTATTTAAACAACCAAATTAATAATAGCCGGCATTTACTGTGTGCTCACTGTATGCCAGGGCTCTGTGCTAAGTGCTTTACGCATATCAGCTCTAGACTCCTCACCACATCCCTCTAAGACAGCCACTATTGTTGTCCCCATTTTATAGGCAGGACCATCAGAAAAAGAGGGGGCAGGTAACTTGCTCGAGGTCTCACCACTAGTAGGTGGCAGAGCAGATCCATCCTGACTTAGAGCCAGCACTTGTACCTGTGATGCTGTGCTGTCTCTCACATGCTGCTGCTTGGTAGGTTGTCTTGTGAGATGGTGGCAGGAGGGGGAGACAGTGCTAGGTCCCCTTATGTTCCCTTTCAGTTCCTCCAGGACTGGTAGTGTGCTCATGCAAAACTCAAACAGCAATTTCAGAAGCAACAGCTGAGTGGAGTGGACAGGAAGCTGGGTGATGGAGACTTGTGGCTGAAATATTCATATCATAATTAAATGCCAACATATCCCACCTCCAGTGCTGTCTCTAAGAACTGTGATGGATAGAGGTTTTTGGGAAAGAACCTGTTGGCCGGATACAGTGTTGTCCTTTGGAAACTGATAGGCAAGTTAGCTACCATTTCCCTAATCTGTAGAACGAGACACTGTGTGGCCTTCCTCACTTCTGACGGATGGTTGCTGTGGGCAGGGGTAAGTGGCTTCTTCAAGAAGGCACACAGTCTCCATGCCCTTGGGTCTATTCCAACATACAAGTTTGGTGGGAACTTTGGAGGAATGCCCTGATACCCTTGGTAGTGTTGCAGTGGCCAAGGGTAGGAGTTTAGGAGGCAGGAGAAAGATGGCTGTTAAGAAGCCAATCATACATTCATTGCCCGCACCTGGGGTAAGGCGATTCCCAAATTCATCTTATTTTCTGAGGCCATTCCCTCTTTATTCTCCCTTGCTTTTTGTTTCTGAGCATCAGCTCCCTTCTCCCTGGCTCCTTTGGAAACTGAACATGGTACATAAAAAGGCCCTTTCTTTCCCCCTCAGAAGGCTGATTGGTTCAGTGAGGTTTTCCCAGAGCACTCTTTCACAGTTGTAACCCAAAGTGCAGAGTCACCCGGATATTTCCCCAACCTGAGGAAGGAGTGAGCAGAATGTGAGCTCACTAGGAAGATTCTGGCCAAGTTGGGGAGTGCATCTCCTTTTAGGGAGTGTTGTGAATTAGATCCATTTCTGCACCCCGCTGTTGCAATGGAGCAGACTGTGAAAGGGAAGATTCTCAGAGGAGCTGTGTTTTAATGTAGCAATTTGATTCAATTTTCCACTCTATAAAATTACCCATCACTGCTCGTTGCTTTCTAACAGACACCTTCACTCTTAATTTAACAATCCTATCGAATTCTGCCAGGGAAATTGGAAAAATTTATCACCTGTGAAATTTTATTTTCCTTTGGTTGTATCTGTTTTTGTAAAACTTCATTAACGACGATGACTTGCTGAGGAAATTATCATTTTTTTTTAACGTCAGACACAAGAAATGGCTCGACCTCAACCAAGATATCATTTGCATAATAAAACACAACAAAAAGGCTAGGGAAGTCGGACTGGCAGAGGCTGGAAGTGCTAGGAGAGGAAGCAGGCTCTCCTTGCCTGGAGGGTGGGCGAGGTCCCCAGAAGGGAGAGGATGTGCGGCCAGAGTCCTGCTCTTTGACTCAGGAGGCAATGACGTGGCTTCTCCCCGAGGGAGGAGACGAATGCAGTGTTATGAGGGTTGGATCCTCTTAGGAAGCCTTGAAATGCACGTTGCTTACTGAGGGTGCTTTTAGCAACCAGCCCTATCTTTAGGAGCTTGAGTGTTAGATTCACCTTAGTTCCTAGGTTCATCTGGGATTGAGGTTTAAATTGCTATAAATTTAGGCTTAACTTGAATTTCTCAGCAGAGCACTGAACTCCTGGCAAATTTCCACAGGAACGATCTTTCTGAATGGACTTGAAGATTCAGCGTGGTCTAACTACCTCAGGATGAAAAGGCTCAGGCTTGGGTTTCCCATCGTCTGGCCCCCACTGTGCTCTGCACTGTTCACCAGCTGCTGTTATCCCCGCCAGAAGTGGCTATGTGGCAACAGTGATGACTACACATGTTTTGAGATGCGAGTTACCAGGCCTTTGGAAAAAAGAAGTATATAGGGTAGGCCTGACTGTAATGATGGGCAGACGAAATATGTTAGGCTTATTTTTAAGAGATGTGATTTGATTCATGGTATATCTGAACTAGGGAATAATAATTTGATAGAGTTGTGCTCTATCAAGGTTTTACTGGATGACTATTATAAAAACGTTTGTCAGCGTTTGTATGTTTCAGATTTTTGAAATCCTTCATAATTGTAAGACAACTTTCCATTATTCTCACAATTACACAGTAAAGAAGTTGAAACTAGAGAGTTTTGATAACTCACCCCAAAACTCACAATAAACCAATGAAAACCAACATGAATGAGTATTCTTCACTCTTTAACCCTGTTGACACATGTACTAAGTTACTGCACATGGACACGTGTAAGACACTCCCTGATCAAATTCATCTTGTTCCCAGAGCAAGGCAGAGCCTCTACACTGGCTTCCCTACATTCTCTCCTTCAGAGGATGAAGGTTTCAAAGTTATATTCTTCCACCAGGTCTGGGGTTTCTGAACCTAGTGGAAGATCATTAGAGGACAAAATTTCTCACCTGGTAACACTTCATAAATTTCTTCTTCTTTCTCCTCTGTAGGCTCTTTTATCCCCACACTCCCAGGCAAGATAATGGGTCTGCACTGGGAACCAGAATTTGCAGAGTCAAAACCATCAATATCATCATACATCTCTTCTTGTTCTTGTTCTTCTTCTTCTTCCTCTTCCTCCTCCTCCTCTTCACATGGAATGGTTAAGGAGCTGAGATCTGCCAGGGTAAACATGAGAATGAATCAAGATATGGAGAAAAAGAGAAGAATAAGCCAGAAAAGGAAAGATGGAAAACGAGGAGGGGGAACTGAGAATAAAACATGTCAAAAAAAAATGAAACACTAGGTTAAGTGCTGTTATTTCTAATGTGGGCCTTGGTGGCAGGAAATCTACAGAAAAGGCCAGACTAGCACTGCATCAGGCTTAAACCATCAACGTAAATCCTTCCTTGCAATAAAACTTGATCAGGATGAATCCACCCTGAAAAGTATGGGTGTGTGAATGAGAACACGATACGAAAGGAAGAAAATAGGCCAAAGAGGAAAAACCAGCATGCCACGCACTGCTCATCAAGTAGAAAACTGGAGCTGGGTATGGTGGCTCATGCCTGTAATCCTAGCATTCTGGGAGGCTGAGGCGGGAGGATCGTTTGAGCTCAGGAGTTCGAGACCAGCCTGAGCAAGAGCGAGACCCCATCTCTACTAAAAATAGAAAGAAATTAGCCGGACAACTAAAAACATATAGAAAAAATTAGCCAGGCATGGTGGCACATGCCCGTAGTCCCAGCTACTCAGGAGGCTGAGGCAGTAGGATCGCTTGAGCCCAGGAGTTTGAGGTTGCTGTGAGCTAGGCTGACGCCACGGCACTCTAGCCCGGGGAATAGAGCAAGACTCTGTCTTAAAAAAAAAAAAAAGAAAACTGGAAGGATGAGTGAAGGCCTGCAGTTCTCCAGGGTGCACAGAGCCATGGGAACTATGGTGGCTTCTGCAGGGTGTCCAAGCTGTCCGAAGCTCGTCTCCCCAATGATCTCTGCAGAATTTCAGACAAGTTTGTTTGCAAAGAGAAAAATGGGCATAAGTGGAAAAGAAATGGGGTACGGAAAAATACAACAGTAATACAGGAACAAATGGAATGGCTGAACAATGCAGTTACCGTGTCCTTTTGCAACTGTACAGTCTGGCTGACCTTAAAGTGGGTCACTGCATAGAGGATGTGGAGCCAGTACAGCACTGGGGAGCGCCAGGGCAGGGAAGGGAGATTGGTTTTTTATTTTAATGGGGAACTGGGAAGGTTCATTCTCGGATGTGTAGTACAGAGTGCTCTCAGAAACCCTGCTGTGGGGCCTCTGCAGGATGGGCGAATGCAGTCAGCATACTCTGGGGAAGGAAAAGATGGAGAGACATCCAACGTTCATTTCAAAACACAATAAAACTGTTTGGCTTGATTAGGCTTTTAATAAAGGTTCTGCAACAATTTTCGTCTGAATTCTGGTGCCACCACATATGAGGAAAGGATCAAAGACACATTTGTGGCTTAAACCATATGTTATTATTTTGTTTGTTTTAAAATAAAATGGAATGAATAATTTCTTCAATGTGGGATTCTGAAAGTACCACAGGGTACAGCTCAATAAAGCTGCTTTGAGTTTTATTGAGGTTTACACACTTAGGGGTATATTACACGCATAAATCCAAGGCACCTAGATAAGAGTGTACCCTGTAGTCCCGCCATCAATGTTCATGTTTGCCTAGTTCCAGTCTATCTACGCTGTTCGTAGATGCAATAGTTTGTTTTTGTGATAGCAAAGGCATAACTGAATAAAACAGGCAATTCTTGTAATTAAAGCTCTGCTGCTTCATTCTTTTTATCCACAATAAAATCTTACAGCAGAATAAAAAACTGAGATGAAAAGGCTTGATGTGCTTCTTCCTAGGTCTTGGGCCATGTATAGAGTTGATGTTTCTGCCCTTCTGTAGAGGCAGGGTCCTGCCCTGATATGGTATATGAGGGTTATCTGATGCCAAGAGACACGCTCAGGTTGGCTACTTCTACCTGCCAGGCCACTCCCAGATAAGGCTTCCTGGGCCACTGTTCCTGCTTTGCCTGCAGGCTGGCCAGCAGAGGGTACTCTAAGAGCAGTCATTTAATATCTTCAGGCAGGACTCTTCCCATCCCAAAGCACGGAGTATTTTATTGTGGCTTGGAAAATAGTAATTTGTTTCTAAAGTCTAGTGTCCCTGAAGGCTACCTAGATTAGTTTAGATCTCTACTTCCTCCCAAGACTAAAACAAGAAGATTTTGAACCTCAATTGCAACTAGATGACTTTAAGTTGGATATCATGACTTTCCTTTCCAGAATATAAGGCGTTAGAAGACACTGAATTGGGCTAAGCTGATTTTTAGAATCTTCTTTTCTAGCGATTATGAATATTACAGACTTGGCTATAGGTAGGTGGATAAGCTATGATATCAGAGGTCATCCCCAAGTTGATCACATCTTTACCTTCTGATACATATGTGGGACTATTTGTTGTTATAATATGGGGGATATGGTAGAAAAGGTAGAGGTGAGAAAGGGCAGAAAAAATACATCCTGAAAGCTGTAGATTACATTTATGCAACATAACTTCAACTGCAAATCCACTCAAGTATTATTTCTGCAAATATGACACTTACCCTTTAACAAGAAACTTATTTGATCCACCCAGTCTCTGGCCTCAGCTGGACTAGTAGCTGTAAACTAGAGAAAAATTAGTGAATTAATTTATCACCTTCACTATCACCTTCACTAATACCTTCACTAACTAATCCTGATAGGGAGGTTCAAGGGGAGGAAGCTGTGAGTTTCAGAATCAAGTTTAAAGCTCAGGATTCTCTGCTTGCTTAACATTTAGAAAAAAGATCAAATAGTTCACTCAAACGGATTTTTTCCTTCAGCAATTTTGCATACGCAGAGATGACAGCCCTTTGAGTCCAGACATTCACATCCATGTGCATTCATTCATTTAATTATCTATTCCTTCATCGGGCATTTATTTGAGGAAAGTTTACAGGGGGGACAAAAAAGCAAACCACCATACACATGTAAAATGGGAGCCCTACCAAGGGCGTGCATTTGGTAACAACTGGATGTTGAGTGGAGACAGGGAGCACTTATTGCTGCCTAGAGTAGGTCAGGGAGGCTTGCTGAAGTAATACTATTTTGGTTGGATTTTAGAAAAGAGTTGGTGGAAACGGGTAGAGGGATTTGGACATTTCAGGTAGGGAGAACCATGTGCAAAAGAACAGGAATGAGGAGGACATCGTGTACGGGGAAGGCAGGCAGATCAGCTTGACTGGAGAACAGCTCCGCTTGGAGCTGGAGAGTTGAGGGTTAAAAAAGAGTTGATAAAAGGGCTGTGAGTACCAGGAGTTCAAAATTAAAATATAGGCAATAGAAAGCCACTATCAATTCTAGGAAAGGGAGTGGGGGATTCTCTCAACAGTGGCGAGCAGGAAGGACTGGAATAGGGAAATTGGGAGACAGAAGACCAACTAGAAGGCTGTTTAACTAGTCCTCTGGCTGAAGTCATAGGGACTTAACTCTTGTGATGGCTGTGGGAATAAATAAGAAGGGAAAGATCCAAAGGATATTGTAGAGGAACAATCACAGGCCATGGTAATGATTTGGATTCAATGGGCCAAAGAAAAGAAGAAGTATATAAAATACATTCTGATTCACAAAACAAGCCAGTCAAGCATCAGCCCTTAGTAATTTTTTCTTAGTTTTAAATGAATCAACTTGAAATAACTGTTCCTGAAAAATATTTTAATTATCTTGTCATTAGTGTAAGATAAAGATATATGCTAGATAAGGAAACTAGATTCCTGCATAATACTTATTAATAGACATTGTTACTCTTGGTTTCTTAAAACCAAATTTCTATAGAAACATTTCTAGGGAAATTGGTTTAGACTTGTTATATAAACTTTTATCTGGATGTGGTAGTATCAGAATTTAATAATAAAAATAAGTAGGGACAATTCAGTGCATACATCTGTATTATATATGTTTATAAAGGACTCTATAGATAAGTTTTAGTTTACATTAAAAAAAAATTCTAGAAGTTACATAATGAAGACCTAAGTTCTTTCATCAAAGTAAGGGTTATGGTACTATAGACATATAAAAAGATGAATGCTGAGAAAAACTTGAAGAGTCAAAGGGTTATTCAAGTAGTTAATTTAATCTTAGTATGGTTTTTCTCTTTTTTATAAGTCAGCTAACGTTTTTCTAAATTGCTTTAGTAAAATTGTGATAAGATAAAAATTACCAATGAGCAGGAAATAATATATACACACACACAAACATACATTTTTAGTGAAAATCTTGCCCTGACCAGGTCCTCTAGTCCCTCAGTTATTATTGTTACCACTTAGGAACCATTGTTGCCAACATCTTAGAAAGCAAAGCATATCTCTGGAAGGTTATTTTGGATAGCAAGATGACCACAGGAAAATAAATTGTATTTTACTCTACAGTTAGATTTTTCCTTTTTCTGGATTTCATGGAAGGAAGTGACGATAAAATAAAGAATTAAAGCCATAAAATTAGGGACTATAAATAAGGAACTGGATTGTATGTTACAACAGACAAGAATCTCACCTATGGAGTGACATGGAGAAGGGGAGTGATGAAGAGATGGAAGCCGAGTAAAGGTAGTATCTAGGATGAAAGTGGCAACACAGAGAAGGGAGGGTGTGACATAGCGAAGGTGAGGACATGTCAAGAAAGAGTGTCTTGGTAAGAAATGAGCAAGTAACAAAGAAAGGCTGGAACCCAGTATAGCAACCAAGGCTCACATGCAATACGGAAGGAAATTGCAACACCAATGAGGATCACCATCTCCTCGGTTCATCCTACCTCATAGCTGCGCCTATCCTGGGAGGTCAGTTCAAAGCAGGATTCTTTCTTGGAATCTCTTCGCAGGTGGGGGGCCATCCGTACACTGTATCCCTTAATGAGGAAGGTCCCTTTGGGCTGCTTGCCTGCAAGACAGGAAACCTCCCTGTGTCCCTAGAGAGATGCAACTGCCAAGGGAAGGCATCTTCTCTGGTATGTAAAATAAAAGCAGAGAAACAGCTGTTACATCCCTGAGGAACCACAATAGTCAAGGAAAGGTTATTAGGGAAGCTTAAGAAGAGGCTACTGCAACAGCGAGGCAGATATCACTGCCAAGCTAGGGAAATGCAACATGAAAGGTTATTTTGCCAAAAGAGTACAACAGAGACAGAGAATTTATTAGAATGTTAAGAGATCTATAATAACAGAAAGAAGGAATTATTACAGCAGGGAGAGTGTGGCTGTAGACGTGAGGCTCTTGAAGGCTATTATAGAGCTGAAACATTATTATCAGGGCCAGCAGAGCCCACATTCGAGGGGAGGGATAGCAGGGGTGGGAGGGATGGGCAGGGGGAATTATAAGGTCCTGGAATTGCCTCCCATGGCCCTATGTAGCATTTGGGCTAAACTGCTCGCCCCCTCCTCTGCTGGTCAGGTGGGAATTTATGCTAGAGGGAGAATAATTAAAGCTCAGTATTTTATCTCCCTTCCAAGAGGTCAAATTGGGAAGTAGCAGAGTACTGTTGAGTATTATTAGATGATGAGGCAGGAGATAAAAGCAAAAGGACTCTACGTGAAGGAAAGGAGAGACTATTCTGCCTGTCACTCCTTTTAAAAAAATAAAATACTGGAAATAGGGAAAGAGGAGGTGGTTTTCAAGGATTTTGTGCCCTCATTGTGTGGTTCAGGGAGAATACATAGAGGACAGGAACTACAGTGTCTGGGTGATGCTTTGTGCCCTATATCATGTGAAATGAATTGCTTAATAAATACTTTTTGATGATGATGATGATGATAAGGATGGCAGCGGGATGGCAATATTGAAAAAAAAGAAAAGAAGAAAAGGGACTCTGTCTTCACCTGGTTGAGCTACAGTAAACACACAAACACTGTACTTACTAAGAAAATGTCCTGGGCATAATAAGAAATAACTGGTGAGAAGGGAGCCATGCAACGGTGCTTTTTGACACCAGAATCTTTTTTGTTAAAGTATCTCTCCTTGTTCTAACTGGCCACTAAAATGTTTTGTTGTTTCTTTGGTCACCAGATTTTATTTCACCCTGATGGCAAAATGGTCAATAAAAGTCTCCATGTCTCTTGCTCTCATGCTCCCCCTCCTCTCTCACTGTGAGTATAAAGGATTCTGAATGAACAGAATGATACCTGGTTTTATATCTAGATATGCCAACCACTTACTTAAGTGCAAAGGAAATTATGAACATTTTTACAATGACATAAATGTCATATTAGTTTGAAGGCTTAAAATAAGAAAATAACACCTGGCTGGCTTGTATGCTTAGATTCAGAAGACAAATTGTGGTTGCTGGCTTTGAGAGTGGGATGGGGGTCAGAAGGACACAGGGGACTTGTTGCTCAGTTTTTGAACTATGCTGCTATCATTTCCAAGTAGGGTTTCACACTTTGCCCCTAGATAAGAAAGGTTCTGAGGAATCCGAGATGGTGAATGGAAGATGAAGGTCTGTGATAACTGCTATAGGCAGAGACAGAGCGGCAGGGTGAGACAATTGCCACAAAGCCCAAGGGCAAATCTTCAGGATTTTAAGTCACTTAGCAAAGCTGTAGTTCTTTCTGCTCCCTTAGTGCCAAAGGTGCAGGAAGTCCAAAGGCAACTGGATGGGTGTCTAATTATTCCTTAAATTGTATATCCAGGCTTTGGGAGAGGACTAAATTTGGGAAAGGAGGAGAGGAGGAGAAACAGAAAATGGTTGAAAGGAAAGAGAAGGGTCTACTCAATCTGTATCACTGGCCTTCTCTGTACAAAGGTGGCAGAACACAAGAAATTCTGCACAACAACTGATGCTTTATTTACTCCTGAGGCAGTCTGGTCCAACTCTGCAGAACGGTATCCCATTTTGAAAGTCTACATTCAGATACAATAATAATTTTTAGCTCACAATTATTTGTAGTTGCCTCCAATGGAGCTTATATGCTCTATTCCTTCTCATGAACTAAGCAACTGTGTTAAACATGGATGGGATGATGATGATGATGATGATGATGATGATGATAAGGACCTTCTAGGGATAGCTCACAAGTGTTGAGCAGATTGAGTGAGTGGTGGCTCATTAAAAAACTGTCTCTGGCCTGAGTCAACACTTTGCTGCTGCCACTATCTGGCTGAAGGGCGTCTCTGGGCACAGCCACCATGTGGGTCTCAAGACTCCATGGCTCTAGGAATGTCCACTGTACTACTTCCCAGTGGTCAGTAGGATAAAGTTGGGATCATGCTCTTAGAGAGTCTGAACTCTAGGGTTCTATTTCTGGGCCATTGTTAAGCTGTTTAAATCTTAGAATTAATTTTTCTCAATATTTTAGCTATGTTATTAATGCTTAAAAAGTGTTTGAAGTTCTTTTTTTAAAAAAACAAAGTGCCAAAACATTCAACTTTGACAATGTTGTGTGATTAGTCATAATAAAAGATAACCCTCTGATATGTGGACCATACTATCTTAGTATTTAAAGGGAAAATAATTTCTAAATTGGCCTCTGCGTTTTTGGTGATGGGCAAGGTATTATTTACCCAAGGCTATTTCTTTCCTAAGCATGTCCTGTTTATGGGTGTTAGTTAAGGACTGCTATCTTGAGATCCAAGTGCTTGAGAATTTACGAAGTGTTTGTATCCAGGAGTGAGGTGCTGCTGTGCAAATGAAGAACACTTACTCTTCTCATTAGCATAGTAGTAGAAGAGGCTTCTGCTGACAACACACCATCGCTTCTGCCACTCTGATCCAAAGAAACTATGATCTAAACAGAACAGCAGTAGGAGACATAAATTCAGGTAACTACAATCACTGAAGAGTACGTAAAATCCAACAACACACAGTCCAGTGTGTTATTGTTTTATTTCCCAGGTTAATGGACTGTAAAACCCTCCCTTTCACTCCCACAGGTTATCCCATATTGACTGAGGGTCCAGTGGACTAGCTCAGTCAAAGGTCCAAGTTCTAAACAGGGTTGCCTGCACTGTGCTCTCATGGCTGTCTTTTTATCTAGCATCCTGTACTTTTCAAATTCCCCATGATATCTTTATGTGTTGCTTCGACAAACCAAAATGATTCTCCAGGCCACGGGCGTGAGAAAGGCTTTTTCTGTGCTAAGCCAATTTGCCTGTTGATTGTCAAACCTGAGACTCCAACCCTATTCGTACCTATTCTAATCGAATGAGTTAAAGGTCAAGAGTTGGGCTTGTCTGAAATTTGAAAGTAGGCTGTTTCGCGAACGATATAAAAACTACACTCTTAGCAAAACAGTTTTACTCCTTATGGGCACACACTGAGAGACGAGGACAAGAACATCATTCATTCATTCATTTGCCAAGTTTTATTATGCACCTGTTGTGTACCAGGCACTGGGGATACAGTGCTGAGCAAGGCAGAATCAATCCCTATCCTGATGAAGCTCACAGTCTGCTAAAGATTTGGACCATTTCTCTTCAGCTAACACACAAACGCCAGACTTCTTTTCTTTCCTTGCTTTGCTTTTGCTTAATAGTATTGGGCACAGAGAAGGCATCTGACATGATAGCCCTCTTTTTCCTCATTTCCCTTCCATTCCTGGAATGTTCTGTGATCTGTGGGTCTGATCAATACCTTTGCTTTTCTTCTCCAAGTATCCCTGTTTGATGATGTTATCAAGCTCTTGTGCTCCTCGTAGGATGTCTTCCGTTCCTAAAAGGAACAACAATAAAATGCTTTGTTGAAACTTGACAAAATTTTTACTTATTTGGGTTGCTTTAGACAATCCACGTTAATAAAGGAGGTACAGAAGGGCAATTGCTTAAACACAGTGTAAAGTAAAACAATTTCTATATGGTTGGGGAAAAAAGTTAATTTTCTTTTTCCTAATTATATCCAATGTTAAAATCACTTAGAATTATCTAAACATACATTAATTTGTAGCAAGGGGAGGTTGCCTAAATATATACTGATATTTGCTATGGATATAAGTTCCAAATTGGATAATTCACATTGAGATAATCAAAAGTCAAATGAATAGCTACCAGCACAGACAAGCTTTAATGAGTGACAGTCTCCACCATAAACATAGTCACCTCAGAGGGAGCAATAAACACACACTCAATTTTTTTAAAAAAACAAACAGAAAGCCACCTTTGTGAACATACATTTTATTAAGTTCACACCAAGAAGGACTATACAAGCTGAACTTGGCGATAATTGCCAAATCCTGTTTTTTCAAAGTATGGGAAAGAGTCTTTGTAGAAGCCTTAACAAAAAGAAGACCCTGGAACTGACATCAGCCTTTAATTGTATGCTGCTAACATTCTTAGCTTTCAATTAGCCTCATTAGGTACAAATTTATTGAGAAGTCAAGATCCTAATCCATCTTCCTCCACTGGGTTTTAACTTACTTTACAGAAGGGAGAGGCAAAGGATAGAGATGAAGAAGAAGGAGTTTACTCCTTAAAAAATAAAATGGAAGAAGAATGAAAAAAAAGAAAAAAACTCTTCAAAGTACACACTCTACATTTCCTAATTAGGTAAAATGAAGAGCTAGCAGAATCTTAATATTTCTTAATATTCTTTTAGTCCCCAAACCCAAATCTCTTTTGATTGTCTTTAAAAATTTACAAAGCAAACCAAATATAAAACAAAGTAAGGTACAACCACATCTGAATCAACTGGGTCACTTATACAGTATCTTGAGACTTTTGGGTGAAGTATCTTTTTTTCAAGCAAGTGCTCTTTGAACATTTCCTACAATAACATTTATTTAGCGGTGGCTACAAGCTGGCATTTTGCTCAGTGCTTTATTACTTTTCACTTAAAAATAACACTTTAAGACAATTTAAAATGCAATTAAAATTACTTTTTGTTTCTAAGCTGTTTCAAGCTTAGATTTAAAAACGTAGATCAGAAGGGCCTCTCTTTCTCTTTTTTAATGTGTCTATGTGCCTGATTCTTTATCCAGTTGGTCCTTCTTGTCAACTTCCTTGTTCATGGACTATTTTCATTTGTGTGTTTTACAGTTAGCAAACTCTGTGGCTGCCATAAATCCTTCCAGGGTGTGTGCATGAGATAAACAGTAGCAAAGGAAAGTTCATTTTTCTAGGATTCTTTCATTTTTCCTATCCCTCTGAAAATTCTATTATCCCTCTGAAAAATTCTCCAGCAAAACAGTAGCAGATTCTACTGAGGGGGGACCGTTGGGTGGGGTGAGGACCAGGTATGGTAGGAAAGGCCCTCTGAAGGAGAGCCCATTCTCTCTGACGTGCTGTCAAAAAATTGTTCCTGAAGGCCTAAAAATTAAATGAAAGACACAGGGGATAAGGAAAACAGGATCCCCTAAGCTTGGAGTTCCCATCTCTTCATCCTACAGTTTTTTTTTTCCTTTTTTTTTAAAGGTCTTGTTAAACTTAGAGACACACAGCTTCTTGTTAAAGATGCCAAGAGTCTGAATCATAAAAGACATGTTAAACGTTCTATTAGAATTCAAACCTCCTTTTTTAATGCAAATCTAAATGCCATTTTATGGAACATCTATAATTATGAAAATGGGAAGACATTGCCTCTTGTGTGCAGGGAGAGTCTGTGAGTATGAATATTACATTAATGTGCCCACACCAGCTCACTGATCCTGCTGGCAGGAGCATAAAAAATGCTTGAGTGAAACTTTTATTTAGATGTTAAGACTCCAGGCCCCAGCGGGGTGACAGAGACAGCCCCTGTGAGTTGCCATCAGAGAGAGAGCTTGAATTGAATTACCCAGGGGGGAGGAAGTAGTGATGAGCACTGCTTCGCTTATTTAATTTCATTTACTTTCAGTACATTATCAGCATGAGGCTTTTCTCTCCCTACCAACTGAAACCCAAGAATGCTACAATCAAGAAAACAAAGACATAATGCAGCAGGGATGTTTGAACTCAAAGTCACCAATTCTAGGAAACAAGGGACAGCACCATTACCACCTTTTCTCCCCGAGAGTCAAACTTGGTTTGCTAAAATTGGGCACTGAATGAGTTGCTGAATTTTCTCTCTTGGTTATTCACTAACAAGATTCTGAAGAGAGTGGTATAGCTAGAAATATAGTTTTTATGTGCTGTGTTTTCATACATGGTCAGATGCTCATGTTGCTTTCTTACTCGTTAGAGAGGATCTGTATTGATCAACTCTCTTGCCTGGTTTCCCTTCAGGCGGTAGGAAAAAAATAGGATTATAGGTAAAGTTTGGAATGACTATGGAAAAAAATCAGGAAATCAAATCAGTCTCTATTCTATTGTCTTCTATGTACAAGGCATTTTGTGGTGAGTACAGCAACAGAGTTGTTCTCAACGTAGAGTTGACTCTGAGCACAATCTCATCAGCTCCATGATCTATCAGACAAATCCAGACAACCAAGATGGGAAGCCACTATGGCACTCAAGCTGTCTCCTCGTTCAGTGTCGGCTCTGGGTCCTAACGATAAAGAACTGGTGATCCTGAGGAAACACAACTTAGTCATGCCGTGGGGTGATGAGGCAGGAGGAGTCTTGAATGCCTCAATCCACACACACTGGCAAATGAACAGATATGCAGAGAGCTACTTAATGCATAATAGTATGTAAATGCTTTACAGGATGATAATAAAAACAGGAAGAAGTCACAAACAATTGTATAAGTTGCCATTTTAAGGCAAAAACATTTATATTTAAGTATACAATTAAAAAAACAGAAGCTTTTTGTCCATTGCCTGAAAAAAGATATCACCACTGTAATGAAAAAATAGAAACGATTTCAATTTGTTGAGAATAAATGGCCCTCTCGGATAAACCTAAGGGTGTATTACATTATATCGGCACAAAACAGAATTACATTAGTGTCATAATCTCTCTCTACCAGTACACTTAACTCACTCTCTCAGGATAGCCCATATAAAGAAAAGGTCACTTAGCTGAAGGATGTGGGGCCATAAAGATAAGATCAACAGAGAAGTGTGTTACCCAGAAGTGATGGCTGCCCAACTTTCTTGGCAGATGAAGATAAAAGGAATTCTCAGACATCCTTCTCTCTTCATCCAGATTCCTTTAAACCCTGTATCCCACCCATACCCAACTCTGCAATAAAAAATGACAGGGTAGGATTCCATCTCTCAACGCTAAACATGGTTCTTCAGTCAGCTATGCACAGCAACAACAATGGGGGCCCTTTGGAGTGCGATACATTTCCATAAAGCAGTCAATAAAAAAGACATGGGAGCTTACATGAGTCACGGCCTATTTAACCAGCTGTGTTCTAGCCCACTGAGAAAAGAGAATTGGAGAAATCAGCTGGCAACACCACAGCATAAGGCTAATAGTGCAGGAGGCCACACAATTTCCACTGCAACAGGGCTGCAGCTCCTGCAGAACGAGCCAGGTGCCCACTAACTTTCATTACAGGCAGCTGGCTTGGTCTCTTGCTAAATCAACCTGAAAAGAAAATCAATGATTTTTTAAAAACATCTTTTGTTCAACTCTTTCCCTCTTATAAATTGTGAACTTCTTCCATCCTTCCCCTTTCCTGTTCATTTGAGTTCTTTTCAACTGTTTAAAAAAGGGGCCAAACCAGTTTGAGTCTAGAGACTGATAGCTACCAGGGGTGAGTTTCAGGCAGGGGAAAGTTTAGCAAGTTCCTTCATTAAAGTACCCATGAAAAGAGCCTGGGGATTTGAGTGAATGAGTTTGGAGAAAATTTAATATTTGAAGGCTGGAAATGGTCAAGTGCCATCTGCAATTCTAATTCACTCACACGGGGCTGGTGTGTGTGCATCTGCAGGCGTGCACACAAACATACTCCAAAATGCCTCGAATGCACACAAGTAAAGAGGGCGTTGCCGGGTAGGGTGAGGTGGGGTAGTTGTCTGCTGGTCGTTGATCCCAAATCTGTTCATTAAACTCTTTCCCTTGCATTTGGTTTCTGTGGCCTTCCTTAATAATTTCATTACTGTTTTTCTTTAGCTTCTTGCTTTTCTGGCTTACTTTTTTGCCTTTTTCTCAATTTTCAGGAACCAGTCAATAAATGATAGTTTGTAATGTCTGGCAAGAAGTGTTCATCTTCTTATGCTAACAGGGAAGATGGTTTCAATGATCTTCTTCTATTAGTCCCTTGGGATAGGCTTATATAATTCTTTAAACTTCTATGGTTCTATTTGATATCCACCTGGTTCACACTTATTCCACACACTTTTCTGTCATTGTGCTTCACTTATTAAGGAATTTAGACCAGTACATGTAAGGTGAAGAATTCTAAACCGCTACTAATAATAGACTTAGGATCTAAAAGTTTCAAAGATACAGAAACCACTCAAACAAATGGCTTTAAACTAACTGAATGGAACTGTTCATGGAGAAACAAACCCAATAGCAGATGAAAGGAAGGGAGTGAACACAATGTACTTAATCAAGTTCTTCCACAAGCTGTGATGTAAGAAGCTAGGAAACAAAACAAGTGCCACTGGGGCTAGACTAAAGGACATCAGAAAATGTGGAAATGACACATTTGTAGTTAGCAAACCAACACAGAAGACAACAGTCAGGAGACCTCAACGGACTGATGCTGCCTTTTCAAATTTTTAAAGTCTTTTTAAAAAAACCCATCAAATTCAGGTTACAGACCAAACAGTAAAAATCTGTGGAGGAATCTTGTTATACTGAGCATAAAAAAAATTCGTGATAGGTTCAGGGTCAGTAGTA